TTTGGTTTGTTGGGGAAGAAGAGCGCGTTAGAGAGATAATGGAAATCTACTGATTTTAGTTAGCCACTGTGTCGGATGAAAATGTAAGGGCGAAATAAAAGTTACGAAAATAAAATATGAGTATTGAATATCTAATAAGCGAGGGATTTATGCATATATCTTCTAAAGAGCCTTATTTAAATATACTCTCCACCATAAGGTGGGATGTAAATTAAATTTTTCATTCCGTTTGCAACACCTCAACGTTTACAGTGGAGACCCATAAAGTATATGGATATATTCTTGATGATGTTGTATATAATTCGATGCAGATTTACGCTTTTCCGTCCGTCTGCTGAAAACAGGATATAGCTCACAATATTTAATTTGTATTTTTGCACATTTTTTTTCTCTTGGAAGGCGAAATACATTTTCACAAAACAGTTTCGGTATATACCAATGTTTTGAGGAAACTTTTATATAACTATATACCACTCGAACTTCTTTATTTTTAAGGTATTAGCAGCATTTTACCAACAAAGTATATTAATTTGGCATTGTGGATTTTTGGAGGCAGATATTTTCAATATAGGTCCACGTTTTAACATAGTCCCTCGCCACATATTGTACCGCCATTGAATAATAAGCTTGCAAGATGTTTGCGATATAGGTTTTAAACCCATGAAGATGCTGCAATTTAGCATTCCGGGTTCTTCCTGGGCAAACACGTTTTTGCAGACAATTTTCTGTATAGTTCCAAGTTTTGACATAGGCCACTTATAAGTTCTGCTTACTTTTGACATTTGAAATGCTTTAATTGTACTGTTGTAAATTAGTATTCCGCGTTCATGTATGGTAAAAAATATATTTACCGAAGAATTTCGATGTATCTCCATCGTTTGGAAACATTGTTACGGCATTCCAAATATTTTATTCCCATTTTACCACCGAAGAAGCTATTTGTCATTCCGGATTCTTGTATGGAGAACACAACGTTCTAAAAGATTTCCGATGCAGTTCCATCTTTTAACATAGGCCTCATATACAGAACTTCCCAGTATTTGGTATTTTAGCTCCCATAGTGGGTATAATTTGACCGTTTTGAAACCTTGAGTGTCTGTACTAGTTGAACATTTGCAACCTACTAGCAGAATATTTACAATGATATAGACTCCGTGTAACCCTGGGCAACCCTGCAGACTGTAGCAACGTAATGTGATGGAGAATTATCGGGAAAAAGGAGAGTGGAGAAACGTGTTTTCAAAAAAAGATGAGAGAACAAAAAAACGTTAGCGTGAGCAAATCGAGATATACAGGAGTCAGAATAAAGTCCGGAAATTTTACCAACGAGTAAAATACCAAACCGAAGGTTTCGGCGCAGGCACATCCTCCTGTAGAGATGAAGAAGGAAACCTGGTGACAGATACAGACAGCGTATTGTGGATCTGGAAGTAGCTTTTTGAAAAGCTTCTGGTATCAAATAGTGGCGGTGAAGAAGATAACCCAGAACCAATGAGAGATGATTGGAATAAAATGTATACCACCTAGTTAAGATGAGGTCATAAAAACCATTAATCGGTTCAAGAACAATAAAGGACAAAAAGGAGACAAGACGATATGTGCTAACTATATAGGAAATAGTCTTCTTCCCACGCACATAAAGTGCTATACAGTGTGCTGTGTGAACAATTGAAGCTAATGGTCAATGACATTATTGGACCATACGAATGCGGCTTCAGACCTGACAAAATCACCACTGACCAGATTTTTCACTCTGCGCCAAATTCTGGAAAAGACCCACGAAAAACACATCGACGCATACCACCTATTCGTCGACTATAAAGCCGCATTCGACAGTCCGATCCGTTCAGAGGTGTTTAAAGCCATGTCTACGTTCGGCATTCCTGCAAAATGAATACGGCTATGCAGTATAACTTTAAGTGGCACAAGGTCAGCAGTTAAAGTCGGAAAGGACCCATCGAATCCCTTCAATACCGAACGAGGATTCAGACAAGGTGACAGTTTGTAGTGTTATCTTTTTAACATCCTGCTGTGATCTTTTTAACATATTGCTGTGTCATACGAGACACATAGGTGAACAGAAATGACACTCTGTACACCCAACAACACATGTTACTCGCCTACGACGATGACATCGATATAATGGATCGAACATTGCGAGCGGTAACAGCCACCTTTGAACAAGTAAACGGCGAGATGGCCAAGCTAATGGTATCAACGCGCAAGACGTCCAGTAGACTCGGACCAACTGGGGAACATGAGAACTACAGCATCGAGGTAGTTATATATAGTTTATATATCGAGTATGTGGGTTTCCTTAAAAGTAGATCATGGTATGTTAATCAAAATAATCGTATATAGGGTACTGAGAATACTCAAGTAATTAAAGTGAACCCATTACATCCAGGAAAATGCACTTTGCTTCTGGTATCAAATAGTGGCGGTGAAGAAGATAACTCAGAGCCAATGAGAGATGATTGGAATAGAGTGTATACCACCTAGCCAAGATGAGGTCATAAAAGCAATTAATCGGTTCAAGAACAATAAAGGACAAAAAAGGAGACAAGACGATATGTGCTAACTATAGAGGAATTAGCCTTCTTCCCACGCATATAAAGTGATCTATCCATTGTGCTGTGTGAACAATTGAAGCCAATGGTCAATGACATTATTGAACCCTTACGAATGCGGCTTCAGACCTGGCCAAATCACCCTTGACCATATTTTTCACTCTGCGCCAAATCCTGGAAAAGACCCACGAAAAACACATCGACACATACCACCTATTCGTCGACAATAAAGCCGCATTCGACAGCCCTATCCGTTTAGAGGTGTTTAAAACCATGTCTATGTTCGACATTCCAGCTTCGAGGTAGTTAAAGATTTTAAATACCTTGGTAGCGCCATAAATAAAACGAATGACATCAGTTTTGAAATTCGGAAAAGGATTGTGATGACCAACAGATGCTACTATGGTCTAAGTAAGCAGTTTAGAAACAAGGCCACCTCAGGAAGACTTAATTCACGTGCTTATATACAAAGTTCCGAGTCTTCTATTTATATTCCAACCGCTTGGAAATCATACAACTTTAAAATTGAGAATGTGGGTTTCTTTAAGAGTATATCATGGTTTACAACTACGGGTATGTTTTGACGTAACTTTTATATAACTATATACCGCTTAATCTTCGTGATTTTTAAGGTATTAGCATCAAAATACTCGTAATTGAAGTAAACCCATTACATCCAGGAAAATGCACTGTTTGGTCCGAAGGTGTGTTTAGACCTCTCAAACTCGAAAATGATGATGGAGCGACTATAACCGCCAATGCGGTGCGTTATGGCCATATGATAACCGACTTTTTTGTCTTCTATAGAAGCATAAGACTTGGAGAATCTGTGGACCGAAATGCCTAATCATCGGACCAAATTGAAAAGTATTTTTTTCGCGCCGAAATGTCCAAAACGACTGCTTAACACCCAACATTCGGAAAATAATGGCTGAGATACGGTCCAATGATTTGATCCAATGATTGCACTTCGTAATATTTTTACCAAACCTAAATTAAATTCGAGGATGGGGTCTATATGCCAACTTCTGTTGGTACCTCCCCATAGGTTAGTGCAATTATTGGCTATATACGTCTGTCATCTGATAACTCCCCTACAAACTCTCACAATTTTGAAAACTTCATCAAAATAAAAAACATTGATTCTCATCGACAGTAGACAGTACTTACATAGATCTCGAAATATAAAATAACGTAGAAACGTCGGGATAGGTATATATTTTGCAGAATCAATATTTTAAGGCTCATCGACATTTAAAGACGCCCATCGCCTTTAATCAAGATTCACGACGTCCTGACAATATTTGTCCCATATAATGTACAGATATAGTCAATTATCGTGCACTCGTATAATTCGTATTTTATGATATTTATGTTTTTTTCTTTTTACTTTTTCGAAATTGTATTTCCATATGTTGGTCTGTGGTATGAAAGATAGAGTATTTTATCCATTTCCTCTATCTTTTATACCACAAACATATTCAACATAACCTGCAATTGATTTTGCTCAACTATAACATGTTTATAAAGCCCAAAAATGCAAAACAATTTATTGTATACTATATATGGACATTAATTTATTATTTTTTCTTTTTTATCCAAATTAGACAATAAAGCATAATATAATTTGTTAATTAAAATAAAAGGCTTCAAATCAAAAATTTACAAAAGAATAACTTAATTATAATTTTTCTAAAATTATTTACAGTTTTTAAATAAACTTGATTTTACCAAACTACAACAATACATTACACAATCTCTTGAAAATTTGAATCTCTTAATATTTGCACAAATAACTTATAAAATTAAACACTAGAAAATAAATACGAAATACATAAAAGAATAATTATTAAAAAATAAAATTATTAATTATAAATTACTATACATATTTTTGTATTTTAAATAAACAAATGTTTAACAAACGAAAATACTTTCTTCCTATTCACTAATCTTTGATTGTTCTACGTATCCATTCTGTGTAGTCGGCAACATTTGTGTATACGGCCGGATGTCCGGTTAGGCCGCACTGCGTAAAGCCAAAGCTAACAATGCCATAGGCAACCCATCGAGAATGTTTACGATCGAAAAACATTAGGGGTCCACCACTGTCACCAGCACACGTGTCTTTGGCATGTTCACCACCGGCACACAACTGCTTGGGACCCAATTGTATGCCGTACAAATCCAAGACTTTGGTGCAATTTTCTCGAGGCATAAGAGGTATGCGTAGCTTCAACTTTATTGGACTCGGTATATTCACGAAATATTTATTAACTAAGAAAGAAAGGAAAAAACACAATCTCGCATATTAAACAAGCATTAATATTTATCCAGAATTACTTACAAAAATCCGTTCTCCCCCACCCAGATACAGAAAACATTTGATCCCTTTCGAATGGACTATCCTCGGTTACGTTGGGCAAACAAATTGGCATAACAAAATGTGTAAAAGACACCGGATTCTTCAATCGTATAATTGCTATATCGTTTAATTTATTAAACGAATAATCTTTGTAATCCGGATGTACAGTGATCTTTTCCACACTCATATCCATGGCAGCATCGGCACAACTCAAATAATTCGGTTCCTCAATGCAATCGGGTTCTGTTCCGACATTAAATTCACCCAGTCGTACATATTTTCTGCAAAATCAAATGAACATTGCAACATTTAGATGAAGTGACTCTTTAATTTGGCAATAAACTATACCGCTTACAATCCCTTTTTCTCACGATAGGCTTCACCGTAAACGCAATGTGCCGCTGTCAGAACATGACGATCATCGATCAGAGCTCCACTGCAACCATATTCATCTGAAATTGAATATACAAATAAATAACATTTAGATTAAATAAATGCAGCAAATGTTGTAAAAATAAGTGCGTCCCTGTTAATGGGTTGCTAAACAAAAAAAAAAAAAAAAACGGACCTGCACTGAAAATTGTTGGATTGTGTCTTATAATTATTTAATCAAACGCAATATTCCATCACATTGGAGTAAATAACAAAATGGGCAAGATATTCGAAGTACCCTAAATCGGCAGGTATCGTAATATAAGGTCCATGCCATTCAATCGAAAACCGAGGGATGTCGCCAGTAGGTGTCGTTGATCTTCCCACGAGTCGCCCCCTTAGTCGTCCTGCGTTCGTGAGGGTGTCCACACAAATACACATCCAAGATCTTAGTTCAGAACCATCGATGTAAAACAATCTCGACCAATAAGATATTATGGTCCAAGAAGTGAACAAGGATATTACAAAGCTTGCGATTTAAAATAATCATTTATATGGTCCCAAAGAGGGGACGTAATGTAGTAGATATTATGCCAGACTACAAATGGATGGGGTCGGGTTCGAATTCCAGTGGTGGAATTCTGCTTTAAAATATGTTTCCGATAATTTTAAAAATAGAGGTTATACCCCCTTCGAATGAAATGCATCCGAAACCCCCTGACATTCTAATAAAGTAAATATGACAGGAAAAAGTACGACCCAGAAAAAATGACAAGACTAAATAGCAAGGACCCCTACCAATGCACCAAATCACAGGGGGCGTTGTTTCTATCCAACGATATAGGGCAGCCCAATTACCTAGCACAGGATGCAGCAGACCAATCATCTAACAAGCTGGAATAAACACATTAACATTTTCGTGCTCCCAAGAAGAGTTACTGATCTAAAAAACTGGGACTTAACCTCAATATCGCAAAAGCGCATTACCGTCCCCAAGGATAATCTGATCTTCTTGAAAGCGCCGAAAAGCATTAGGTCTCCAGAAGAGCAGCAAACAACTTTGACGAATACAAAAAAGCTTCCTAACAAGGCTCCCTCTGGTGTCGAGAAGACGAACGCAATGTAGGAATCATCTGTAAAGTCAAATGACCGAAAAACATAGTCAAGATTAGCTTTGGTAAGCAGTGATAAACGACAACCGTGAATACGACAAGTTGATTAAAGAGCTCCTTAAGCAATTCAAGAATCCTGGATCATTTTCTGCAAAGAAGGAATACTTTAGCCCTAGAAGTATACAATTCAAGACGGATTATCCGATATTTAATTTTGATTTATCAACATGAGCAAGTGTCTATGATATAGGATGGACCAGCGACTTCAACAGAACGCACGTTTTGCAGGCCATCGGTAAAATAGGACACTGCTTATAAAAATGTGACGGAAAATGGGACATACCACTTCATTTTTTTTTTTCAAACCACACCCCCTATAAAGGTTCATTTTTCAAAAGAGCTACTATAATTTGGAAGGGGGTAAACATCTTTAGAGAAAATATATATGTCTATATTTTGACATGTCATCCGTATAAATTCAAACCCACGGTATAATACCGACACACGTCAAATCATTTTTTAAATATTTTCTATCATTTCGACTATAAAGTATTATTTTTTTATCAAAAGACAGATTGTTAATACATTGTTTCCTTGGAATTATTTCGCTTGACTTGAAAAACAATGTACCATACGCGCACATGTACAAATATTTGCCATATTTCAATGAGGGAAATATTTAATAAGTTGATGAGATAAACAAATATGTATAAATAATATATATTTCATAAATATTTTCTTCTTGATGTATCCCAAATTAACGTGTGATCGAATACTTGTTAAATAAATTGAATATTATGTAGAACATATGACATTCTCAGAAGTTCAATGTTCACTTTATACGAAAAAACATATTTGGGAAATATGTAGAAGCACTTCCGCAGACTGTAACAAAAATATTTAGTTGTTTTAACCTTACAATACCAAGACTAATATAAGATAACAATATAAGAAAACAAGAAAAAATGCTGTTCTAAAAAACGTCCATTAAAATAATTTTAAAATATTTTAAAACCGGTAAGAAAAGGATCAAATGAAATAATTATTCTTTAAAAAAATTGGTTCCCAAAAAATTTATTATTTTATATGTAATATTTAAACAGTTGTAGCTCTTTTGAAAACTATTTCTTAACAAATCCTAATATGTAGTTGTAGAGGACCATATTAAAACAACAATTAAACCAGTGAGAGGAGCAGTACAGTCGGACGGTAGAACCTGTATCTCAGAAGAAAAATGTACGTGATAAAATTAAAATGTTATAAAGAAGGCAATCATGCTTACTTGCCCGTTTACACTTTTTCGTGATGTTCGGATCATAAATATGGTTATAAACGATCCAATATGATGATTCCATAAATAATAACCGGTCATCAACACTTGGGAGCATACTAACATATAATACCTTAAAAATTGGTCATTTAAAATATATTTTTTTAATTGTCACGCTCATATTGGCTATAAAAGAATTTATTTGAAATGTTCACGCTTATGTTGGCCCTTGGAAAAATATTATTTGAAATGTCCAACATAGCGGGTCATTGGAAAAAATATTATCTAAGAACTCCACGCTTCTGTTAGTCCCTGATAAAAGATTCTTTTACAAATTTAAGCTTCTGTTATTCCCAAAAAAAATATTGTTTAGAAAATCCACGCTTCTGTCAGTCCACGAAAAATTATTTTTTTAAAAATCAACACTTCTAAAAATAATTCCTCTAAAAATTATTTTTTAAAAAATCCATCCCTTTGCTAGTCCTCTACAAATTATTCTTTAAAAAATCCTAGCCCTTTAGAAGTTATTATGTTTCAAAAACACGCATCTGCTACTCCTCTATAAAGTATTCTTTAAAAAATACGCGCTTCTGCGAGTCCTCTAAAAATAATTTTTTATTCCCAAATTATTCTTTAAAATCCAGACATTTTTTAAACTCCGAAAAATGGAGCTTTAAAACATCTACGATTCTTTTAATCCCCAAAATTATTCGATAAAAGATTAAGTCATTACTATAATTACAAAAAATGTAAGCAGAAGATTAAAGTTTTAGAGAAAAATACTTGAAAAATTCCCTCTTCATATTCTTTCACGACGTCTATGGTGACTCTTAGAAATATACTCAACATAAGTGGATGCCTGAAAAAAAGATTGTGAAAAATCACGCTATTGTGAATACTTAAAAAGTATAGTGAATGACTGAACATATTAGCGTGGGAGAAAGAAATTCTTTATAAAAATGAGGATAACATCGGAGAAATGATCGAAGTTGACCGGTATGTTAGCAGTCGTAACATCGCCCAGCATCTAACAATCGACCATAAAACTGTGTTAAACCATTTACACAAAGATGGATACAAAAACAAGCTTGATGTTTGGGTGCCCCACCAATTAACAGAAAAAGAGGATGGATCGAATTTCCATTTGCGAAGCCTTGGCCAAACGGAATGATATAGGCCCATTTCTTAAACGGATGGTGACTGGAGATGAAAAATGGATCACATACGATAACCCTGTGCGAAAACGATCGTGGTCAAGGAGCGATGAAGGACCTCAAACGGTAGCCAAACCAGGACCAGGACCTGCTATGCATTATGAGTTGTGCCGTTTGAAGATAGAAATTGACCAGAAACGGCCAGAATTGACCAATAGGAGAGGCGTCGTGTTCCACAAGGACAACGCTAGGCCACACACACATATACAGTGACTCGCCAGAAACTTCGGGAGCTTAGTTGGGAAGTTTATATGCCGTATCGGGCGAACCACCGCACGCGTGCACTCTCGCGTAAATATCACTATTCTCTCACACACATTCAACTGAACCAACTGAAAAACCATTGACACAAATGCGTGAGAACCGATTTTTTTACGCTCTGCCCGACCCTGTTTTAATGTATCCGCAATACAGTCCGGACTTAACACCAAGCGATTATCATATTTTGCTGGCATTACAAAATTTCTTTAATGATAAACCAGTGAGCGGAGCAGTATAGTCGGACGGGGCCGACCATACAATACCCTACAAAACTTCCATGAAAATCTAACTTTTTGTGGTTCTATATTCTGAGATTGGGCAATATTTCGCGATCTTTGCACACTTTTGACTGGCTAGAGGTCAGCAAATGTTACTAATAATCAGTACAGCCCCTCTAATTACTTGTGGGTTGTGTTGTGATGTTCGGCTTTCGACTCCAAAAGTACAAATAATTAAATTTTCGGTCCACTTCATCCCAAAATTATTATCTGATCATCACCGAAAATTATAGTCGTTGTCCTTGACCACTACTGGAACCTCATGGAACAATTCATAGCGATCAGCTCTATATTTCCGCCCTCTAATGAGGTAATGGGTTACTATGTAATATCTCAGTACATAAGCACCTGGAAATATTTAAGTGTAACTCCCTCATCCGAGTACCTACGACAACATAATTGGTATCAATTTAAAGGTCAACCACTCCTCTCGGATATACTATCAACTTCCCGGGTCTATGTCCTTCAGTGGCAAATATATACGCTACAAAATACAAATTTTGTAATTTTTCACACAAAAGTTAGGGTCCATTTGACCCGTTTGGGCCATAATTGCGGCGTCCGGAGCGACCAGAAAATCAGACAAAAATAAAGTTTTTGGTCCATTTTATCCCCTAAATATTAACCGATCTTTTCCAAAAACAATAGGGGTCTTCATTGGCCAGAACCCATCCTACATGCAAAATTTCGTGAAGATTGGTCCATAACTGTGGCCTGTATCGTGTTTACAAATTATAATGGACAGACGGATGGACGGACGAACGGACTCATATGTCTAGATCGACTCAGCTAGTCGAGATATGACGATCGGTATACTTAAAGGTGGGTCTAGGACAAATATTTCGCGGCGTTACAAACTGTTGGGGTTGCACAAAGCTATAATACCCTGACAACATAGTTGTGTAGGGTATAAAATTTGGTATCTAGGGAGGATTGTGAAAATCGATATCTAGAGTTTTTTTTGCAAATAGAGAGCAGGACTTCTATGAGAGAGACATTATGAAGTTACCTTTAATATAGCAACAAATTATACAACAAAACGGTGCCTATTTGGCCCAAATCGGACATTCCGAAGCATGTTAAATAAAGCCCTATAGTTCATATAAAAATAATAGATTTCCCAACCTAATATATTATATCAAAAATGGTCCACAAGACGTTAAAACCCTTGAAGAAATATACAAAGTATAATAAAAAGGATGTTCCATTAACATCCGATTTGATCCAAACTATGCACGTCATAAAATGTATTGAAATTCTTTATTTATTTCGAAGATGTAAATTCATATTTAATGTAAAAATTCCACATAGTATTTTTTAAACCTTAACTTGTTGTCCCACTCCTTCGATACTCCTCAATACCTTAGGATAAGAATATATATTTCATATAAAACGAATCATGAATCAAAATAGACACAAACTTTGTATATTTCACTTAACATCGATATCGCCCAAAGATTGACTATAAGGACCAACTTATTTTTTCAGGGCCGTATACAGGATTGTTCGCAGTTGCAAACATAAATTTACTGTTAAAGAAATCATTTTGCTGGATTTGTTGATTTGTTGAAATCATTAATATCCTATAATGCAAAATGAGTCCTCGATTTGACTTTATCTATAGGAAGAATTTGTTTGTCAAACGGAATGGATAGGTTATTTTTCTCGATCCTAACTAAATGTCCCGGAAATGTAGCACAATTCATTCCGTGTATATTTCCACTATCCTTTATATGGAGTAAATGTTTTATTTTAACACTCACTTGTATTATAAACCAACAACGCCAACCATGGGAATTCATCCAGTTCGGCTATTTCACCACCGTAGATACGATGTGTCACCTGTTTGCCGCATTCATTCCACAAATTGAATCCCTCCACCGGTTCGACGGTTTGTATGCGACGTTTAAGTTTCTTCTTTTTAAATCTCGCTGTGGCATCCTGAAAGCGACGATATTCGAATTTTGTAAAACGTAAACTGGGATAACGATAATCCTGGCCATTGGCTGTGCAGCAAACGAGAGGTTCTAAATGTTCGTCACTATCATCGACAGACGATATATTACTAACACATTGCACCTTTTTCAAGAAATTCACTTTTTCTGCTGGCAAATTTGTTGAATTACGAACTAGCAGATATGCCGTACACTGACTCACTTTCAAACAAATGCCCGGTTTATCTTCATTTGGTATTTCACAAGATATTGGACCGGGATTGTCATCTTCTTCGGCAGCCGAGCCCACGATAGACGATGATGATAATGAGGAAGCGGAATTTGTATAGACAACACGTGACGCTGAGGACATTAGATCATCCTCATTATCCGAAAACGCGGGCGTTCGGTATTTATCACTACAATGACAATTTACAACTAAGTCCACTACAAGTAATAACAGTATTGCCAAATAACGACACTTAAGGAACATGACGTTAGGTAAAAACCTCACACGCAGTGCCTTCAAACGGAAAGAAAGGGGAAGTGCAGCTGATTAACCGTTAAACGATTGACCGAATAAACGATCGTTTATGGCTTTGAATTGCAAGTGACACAAATAATTGAAAACACTTGTGATTAATTTTTGTTGTTGTTATTGTTATACGTCTGCCTGTCAGCCAACCGATGCGTTCGTTCACAAACGAAAATGAAACCGAAGACAAAAATTAAAATTCACTTCACCGCCGAGACAACATAACGCGACAACGTACCGTTTTACTATGACGATCGCGAGCCAAAAGAAACGACTGAGCCAACAGCTGTTAATCCCACACGGGGTCGACGCTGGTTTAAGCCATGTCAAAAACAAATGCAAACAAGCAGGCGGGCTGGCAGTCAGTCAGTTAGCGGCATGAATATTGGAGTTGGACCTTAAGTGTTTGTTACAGACAAAACAACACAGAAAATTAAATCAATGAACACAGTGGGAGATATTTATTTCAATGTAATCTCAAACACGTTTGACCAGGAAATGTTGCCTCCCTAGACAAGATTAAATAATCCTTATTTGAAATATAAATTATTGGCCGATAAATGTTCCGGAGATTCCATGTTCCATTTTGATTCCTTGTGACAACCTCCGATGAGTCTATATTTTAATACTCCCTCACCCATTGTGTATTAATTTAATTGATCACCACAATGTTGTGTTTGGTTACGTGCCAAACCAAACACCTTAACACAAATTATGTGACAGACATTTAAACGACGACGATGATGAGGATGACAACAACAAAAAGTAAACTCCATATTGACAGCAGCAATATGCCAATTCAAGATCACCTTGCGATCTCAGTTGATTTCCAAAAAAGCGAACAAAATAGCAAAACAAAAAATCGAAAAAAACACCACCTCTCCATGAACACCGCTCATCCACAGTAAACTCGAATCGTAGTGTTAAAAATGCAATCACGGAAAAGTACACACGAATTATCATCGAACACACACACACAGCCGGCTTTACATCTTGACTGCCGAACAACCGGTCATTTACTTAGCTGGCAGCAACATGCAACAACTTACAACTCCAATGCCAGCTTATACGTACTCACAGACTTACATACAAATGTTATGCAATCCTTGCTCTTGTGTATATGAAGAACTGGCAAACTTGAATGCAGCAATGCAGACCAGCCATCACGACTAATGTCTGAACACCATTGAATGATTCATCGATCATTTGTTGCGATCAGCATTGAGATTTCACTTTCATTTGACCCAGAAATATGGATATGCAGATGGAGTTTATAGCATATTTTTAGGAGGGTAGTTGTGTTTTGATTTAAAAATGGATAGATCGAAATATAAATCTGGCAACGAATAAAAATGTGTCTTCCCGTACACAAAACCCAATAAAACTTTTGAAATTTATAAATGAACAATTAAACCTGAGTTATCTGCGTATTATATTCACTTCTCGTCTTCAAAATTCAGAACGTGTGTGTGGGGACTATATATTTTTATACCCTACACAACTATGTTGTCAGGGTATTATAGCTTTGTGCATTATACCCTACACAACTATGTTGTCAGGGTATTATAGCTTTGTGCAGCCCCAAAAGTTTGTAACGCCGCGAAATATTGGTCCTAGACCCACCTTTAAGTATACCGATCGTCATATCTCGACTAGCTGAGTCGATCTAGACATGTGTGTCCGTCCGTCCGTCCGTCCGTCCGTCTGTCCATTATAATTTGTAAACACGATACAGGCCACAGTTATGGACCAATCTTCACGAAATTTTGCATGTAGGATGGGTTCTGGCCAATGAAGACCCCTATTGTTTTTGGAAAAGATCGGTTAATATTTAGGGGATGAAATGGACCAAATACTAAATTTTTGTCGGTTTTTCTGGTCGCTCCACAGGCCGCAATAATGACCCGAACATCGTGAAATTTTGCATGGAGAAGGGGGTCGGGCCAAAGAATAAGCATGCCTGTTTTGATAAAGATCGGTCAATATTTAGCGGGTCAAATGGACCCTGACTTTTGTGTGAAAAATGACAAAATTTGTATTCTATAGCGTATATATTTACCCCTGAAGGACATAGACCCGAAAAATTGATATTATATCTAAGAGGAGTGGTTGACCTTTAAATTAAGACCAATTATATTGTCGCATGTGCTCTGATGTGGGAGTTACACCTAAATATTTACAGGTATCTCCGTATTTGTATGTTATTTAGTAACCCATTATCACTCTAGAGAGCCGAACATAGCGCTGATCGCTTTGAAATGTTTCATGAGGTTCCACTTATGGTCAAGGACAACGCCTTTAATTTTCGGTGATGATCAGATAATAATTTTGGAATGAAGTGGACCGAAAACTTAATTTTTTTTTGTGTTATTTTCGAGTCGATCTACAACAACACAACCCACGGTGAAGGCAATCTGGACAATAACTGTACTGAATACTCGTAATATTCGGAAAATATGTCAGTGTGAGGAAGAGGTGCTGTTTACCTCTAATCGGGCAAGAGTGTGCAAATATCACGAAATATTGCCCAGGCTCAGAATACACATCCGTAGAAAATTTGAGTTCAGTGGTAGTTGTGTAGGGTATCGTATGGTCGGCCCCGTCCGACTATACTGCTCCGCTCACTGGTTTTAAATTATCTGCAAATTTATTATTCAAAAGGAATATGCACAATACATCTACTTTGGCTTAAAACACTCGGCTAAAATCTTCAAAATGCAAAAAAAGAGAGGATTCTCAATATAAGGGTTGTGTCAATGCAAATGACAAAGCTCAAGAACCTGAAATATCAAGTTACATCCACTTCTGTAGACTAATGCGCCTATTACGATCAAAATACCGAAAATAGGTTTGATCTTTATATGGGGGCTATATCAAACCACAAATCTATATAAAATTTTCTGTATGGATCAGGGCTGTCCACACTAATATATAAATTTTTTTTATTGTATTTGTTTCAAATTTGTATTTCTTTCAATAATCTGTAAGAAATATTGTAAATTTTTTCACTTCAACTGGTAAGGAAGAAAAACACTTTGTGCTAATAGCAAATATGATTGTTAATGAAATATTTTCCCTTTAAAGATAGATTCTGTTTTGCCCTCCCGCCATATCAATAATATTATTACAGCATTAATATATTTCGACTCAAGGCCTATATAGGGTCGGCCAGTAAGCGAATTCATAGAGAAAACTGAATCTGTCGTTAACGACAAGTAGGGAGATTAATCACCGAAGTTGTCGTCAACGACGACTTCGCTTACCCTGTCGCCCAAGTTGTCGTGCATAAATACTGCGACACTTGTGTGAAAATTTCGTCAACGATTTCACATTGTTGTCTGCAAAGTGTTTTCAAGGAATTGCCATTGTTTTACACTGACACTTCTGTCAGTAATTTTAATTCAAAATTTTATGATTGCCGCTCAGTCCGTTCTCACAAACCAAAATCTACCATATTTAGTACCATCTAGTGTTTTAGTATTTAGTACGAAATTCCTTAATCCATACCTTAATCCTGTAATTTTAATTCCAAATTTAGGTTTTCCATGTCTATCCTTTCACTCAAATCGAAACCATGTAGTTCTGTTCGTTCTTAACTACCTCAATCATGCTCTCTAAGAGTAAACTTAATTGAAATTTCAGTTTTCCATTTCTATCCGGTTTCCATTTCTATTAAATCGAAATTGTACCAAGTTTAGTACCTTTTGATACACATACATTCCAACAGTATTTGTAAACCCAAATTGCAGAATTCCAGCCCCATCTGTTCACACAAAAACAAATGATAAAATATTTAGTACCATTTAGTACGTTTTGTTCCCATAAGTACGAATTTCCTAAACCAAATCAATCCTACACTCCAACAGTAATTTTAATTCTAAAATTCTGAAGTCCAGCCTATCCGTTTGCACAAAATCAATTTGTACCAAATATAGTACAATTTAGCACACATAAGTACTTTACTTTCATATCTCAATTCTACACTTCAACAATAACTATTATCCAAATTTTAGGTTTCCAGATCTCTCCGTTCACTCAAACGCAAATTGTACCAAATCTAGTCCCATTTAGTACTATTCGTACACATAAATATGAATTCCAAAAGCTGTCTTTATAGTACAATCCTCAACAGTAATTTTAATTCCAAATTTCAGGTTTTCAGCTCTATCCGTTCACCCAAAATCCAATTTGTACTAAATTTAGTAACATTTAGTACATTCGTACGCATAAGTACGAATTTCCTAAACTCATCAATCCTACAATCCAACTTTCATTTTAATTCCCAATTTCAAGACTCCAGCTCTATTTGTTCACCTAAATCCAACTTGAACGAAATTTTGTACTTTTAGTCCTCTACTCCAAAACTAATCATAATTCCTCTTTTCAGGACTCCATTTCTATACACTATGCAAATAGTATCAAATTTAGTACTTATCATACACATAAGTACTCAAAATTTCATACTTCTAGCTTCAGCCGTTTCGTCTGGGCGATGATCCCACAGTCACCCACTTATCACTAAGCTCCTTTATATATTAAGGTTATATACGGCATTCTCGAATTAATTTATTACCGAGCAATGACCCTTAAACCGGGGTCAATGACCTTTAATCCGGGGTTAATAACCCTTAATCCCCTCAGTGACCCTTAATCCGGATTAAGCCTTAATCCCCCTCAATGACCATTAATCCGGGTTCAATGACCCTTAATCCGGATTAAGCCTTAATCACCTCAGTGACCCTTAATCCGGGGTCAATGACCCTTAATCCCCTCAGTGACCCTTAATCCAGGGTCAATTACCCTTAATCCGGATTAAGCCTTAATCCCCTCAATGACTT